GTGACGAGGATTTCCAGATTGGTTTCAGGTTGATGAATGTGTTTCTCGCCTTCTCGATTTGACACCCTCGTCCGTTCCGACATCCTGTAGTTGAGACAATGCTCCCTAGATAAGTGAATGAAGTGACCTCTTTCAAAACCCTCCCGTTGATGGTGATTGACGCTGGATGTTGCTGTTGGTTGGTTATTTTCATATCCTCCGTCTTGTCTATGTTCACTTGGAGTCCTGTCTTCGCCGACTGCTTCTTCGACCAGTTTGTCGGTTTTCGCTTGTAAGTCTTCGATTTTGTGTGTGTGACATCAAACATAAGTCATCCACGAGCGAAATCCAGGTCTTCTAAGTTCTTCACGTCGGTCCAGGATATTCCTGTCTTCTCGTTTCCCACTGTCTGACGCATAATCCAGTCCACCACAATTAGGAATATCATTAGTGATGATAAGCCAGCACCCTTGTCTTACTCCTGTGCTTACTACAAACGCCTTGCTGAGTTTTCCGTTGTGGATCACTTGACAGGCGTTGTTGTTGTACAGCTGTTGAATAAGGTTGATGAATATTTGGGGTACGCCATAGTACTCGAGTAATTTTCAAATTACTTCACGATCAACGCTGTCGTAGGCCTTCTCAAAGTCTATAAAGTTGAGGTAGAGGTTTGATCGCCATTCCATGCTTTGTTCTGTGATGATGATGCGTAGAGTTGCAATTTGGTTAGTACATGATTTGCCTGACTTTCCTGAATCCAGCTTGTTCTGGTCGGATTTCTGTCTCTAGTGCGTCCTTTAATCTCTCCAGGATGATGCGACTCAGGATTTTACTTGGCGTCGACAGGAGCATGATCCCTCGCCAGTTCTTGCAGAGTGAGGTGTAAGTCGCCCTTCTTTGTTAGTTTCACGAGGTAACCTTTCCTCCAGTCGGTAGGCACCTTTCCCTCCTTCCAGACCTCTTGCAATAATGGAGTCAGCATGTCTGCTGTCGTCTCTGGGTCTGCTTTCAGTGCTTCAGGAGGTATTCCATCTGGTCCAGCTGTTTTTCCAGCTTTCAGAAGCTTGATTGCACTCAAGACTTCAGCTTTTATTGGATGATTGGTGTCGACTTGCAGCTTTGTACGCGCTGTTGTTGCAGGTGATGGTCAGTTCAAGAGTCTTTTGAAGCGATCCGCCCATTGTTTAATCTGTTTTCCTTCCTTGGTAATTGGGTTCCTTTGGCTGTCTTTTATGGGTTTCACTTGTGTTGATCTCTCTTCCCGGATAGAGATTTTGTTATCTGATATAATGTCCTCAGGTCCCTTTTGGCTGCTGCCTTCTCAGCTTCAGTGACCAGGTTGTCGTAGAATCGTGTTTTGTCCTTCCTAGCACTCTTCTCCACTTCTTTCTCCAGTGATGTGTAAGTTGAGCTCATCGTCTCCTTCTCCTGTCCGTCCTTGCATTGAATCATTTTCTCTTTCACCATTCTCCTCTCTTCTATTAATTTCCAAGTGTCCGTTGAGAGCCATTCCTTGTCTTGTCTCTTCTTTTTTCCTAGAACCATTGAACACGTTTCGTTGAGAATCGCCTTCAGAGACTTCCAATGTTCTTCCACGCATGATTCTACAGTGATGTCACGTAGTGTTTCCTGTTTTGCTCTGTCAGTTGCAGTGAGTGTCCTTTGTGGTTGTGCCCCTCAGTAATTGAGTGTTGAACTTGCATTGTGGCCTAAGCCCAGATATCCTCGAGGCTTTTAGTTTCACCTTGAAAGTCCCTTATACCCACATCGGCTAATCTTCTCGATCTTGTGTCCAGTAGGCGCCATCTCCACTTCCTTGAGATTGAAATGAAGTCTATCTGGTTTTTGGTGTGTCCATCTGGTAAAATCCATGTCGCTTTGTGTATATCCTTGTGTTTGAACACACTTCCACCAATCACCAAATCATTGAAGGCGCAGAAGTCTGAGAAGGGTTCACCATTGTCGTTCATTTCACCGAGAGCCTAGCGACCCATGATGAGTTCTCTTCCTGAGTTGTCTCCTCCCAGTTTTGCATTCATATCACCCATCAGGATTTTAATATCGCCATTTGGGACGTTGTCCATTATTGCTTGTAGTTGTCTGTAGAAAACCTCCTTCTTCTCTTGTTCTGAGACGTTTGTTCTCAAGTTCTCAATGAAATGAGTACAATTATCAGTAACTAAGACACTTGGTATTCTTTCTTGACTAAAAATCTTCCTCAAAGCTCTGTGAGTGAGTTTCGCTTTATGACTCTCTGTAATTATGACTTCTGGCCATTTGGAACAAGCATCCACAATAATTAAGGCATAGTATGAATTTGAGATTGGCATGAATACTCTGCCAAACGTCACAAGACGCAGGCCATGGTTTCCACCATGACTTCCCATAAGGCATTTTATGCAAACAGCTGGAACAGCTCTTTGACCTTTTGCTAATGTCAGCATCAATTTCCGGCTACCATAAAGTTAGGCGTGCTAATGATTTCATCTTATCAGCTCCTAGATGAACAGAATGAAGATCATCCAAAATCGAGAATCTTAATGTCGGAGGAATAATAATTCTGTCATTCAGGACGGACTGAAATTTCATGTCTTTACTTATAAAAGTCCGGGAATCTTCGCTTACACTGAATGTTCTAACCCCTTTTTGTTGTATTTATAATTTATCCGTAATACTTCCAAGTATCGTGTATGCGTCACGAATGGCAGCTGAAACAACAATAGCAATTCTTCGACGTATTTAATAGTCTGAGAGCCACGCATCATAAGGAGTCTTGCGAAACCACCTGGTTGTCCAAAGCTCAGTAAATGTATGGGTGTTTGTAACAGTGGTCTACTGGTTGTAAGAAGACCACTAGGATAAATGCGTTCGACTTACTATTAGGAATTCCAAATAAGTGTTTAAACACCCTAAAATATAGGTATTATTAGCATCACACATGAATAAATTGGATAGGAAAGAAACTCTTTTTAAAAGGAGTGCGTTCGCAACTTGGTGAACAATGGGTACCCAGAAACATAAGAGTAGTTAACTGTTTCTTGTACTCTGAGTGTTAAAACTTGCATTGGTATGGATGAACGAGATGTAATCAAGGGGAAGAGGATTTCAAGCAAGACTTTTCAGACACCATTATATGTGGATACACGCAGACATGCTAGATAAACGGAAATTTTGTCTCGCAGGTTTATTCAGTATAGATAGTAGCTTAGGAACAAACGTGACTTTTGCCTATTTCTTGTGTATTAGTAAACAAACTGGTCAAAAAGGAAGGGCAATATGGCTGTTGCGTGAGGAATGGCATTATTTCGAATGCTTCAACTTATTACCATCTGCAGTTTGCATAGTGTCGTACAAATTATTGATATTGTATCAAAGAGCATATAAAAAGTTAACTCAACGGACACATCAAGATTTGCTAATACGAATTTATAATTATGGATCACACCATATCCGACTTTCCCACATTTGCTTCATAAAAATCTAACCTAGAATTTTCTATAGGCTTCAAACAAACATCACCTCGATTTTACCACTATCGTACTGTCACAAGTAACCTAAACATTGAGTAAGGTAGTTTATATGACTGTTTCAAGTGTTAAAGATGTCCCTAGTGGACTCCAAATTCAGAATCAGTACTGTCCACCCTGTTTAAGCAATGTACAGGAAATTCAATGACAACACTTAACAAAATCACCATCGCCAGACGCGCTATCGAAACTTTCACAAATAATTAACAAAATGCAGTCAGCTGCGAGCTCGGAGTTTCTCCACCTAGTATACGCTTGAGTTATTTGTTCATTAGCCCTCGTACGATAGTTGTGGCATGGAAATGCTAGTTGTTTTGCAAGGTTTACAGTGCCCATGTTCTGCTCTCTGTGAAGATTACGGGAAGGATGCGCATAAACTTGCGAAAATGTATTTCCCCGACAATGAGTATAAGTTTAAGTAGCCACATTGTTGGGCGAAGTAACCTCGTCACTCATGATATCGTCATTTGTGTAGGATGGCTCAGTAGTAAGCATAGTTACAATGCATGTATCCTGGTAATAATATTCTGTATGAAAATAAAGACGATTATTCTTACTTCAACGATGTGACATTCGCTCATCCGAGTGTGGCATGTTTCCAAAGGTAATGGGCGGCATGAATGATTATTCCAGTAGATTCATCCCCGCCAACTTCTAATCTGCACCTGAGATCACCCTATTTACGACTCGAGTCTGATTCAGAAATTGCTTATTCTAATCACCACTCAAATATATGATCATAACACGCTGACATGTATAGAAACCGCTAATGGTCCGAACATAGTGTTTGGACGCTCCTGATCGATTGATACAGTAAACGGCATCCAAGCTCAACCATAACCCGTTTCTCAGCTGAGTTTAGTGACACAATATTACCACTTATCCTTCATTATCACACTTTTTATGGTTTCTACCTTCATTGTACAGATACTACAGTTAAATGTGGACCGATTGTTGAGTCTTTAATTTTCGCATAGTTCAAGCTGGTACCAAATATTTAAAGTTGCTACACTGATATAAAGATAAGTGCGTTGGGATATAGTGCATCTGTTATAACAATACAGTACTCAAAATCTGGTTCAGCTTATCGGGCCACACATTCAACTTTTCACTCCACGTATGGAGAACCACGCAGCATAATCAACCCTCACACTATAGGGTTGATTTACTGCCACTAAGTAACAGACCAGAAGTCCATTAAAATTATCTTACGCTCCAGTATTATTACAATAATGTGAAGCTAAGGGTTGGCAATAACACTCTTATATAAATAGAACTGAAAACCTTATTCAAAATTCTTAGAGCCTCAAGATAAAAATGATTATGAGTAGTATATCAAGAACTAAAGCAGTCATACATTTCTCTTTAGTCCGAAAAGATATTATCACTACGCGTCAATATATCTGTAACACTTTGTCGCTGTGATAGTACGTAATCCCATATATCTAATAAACAAATTAATATGGTAATAGTACACGTTAGTTGGTATTATTCCATAGGTAAACTGAAATCCTTAATATTTTGGAAATAATAGCTGACAAAATGGATAGTACTAACCAAGTAGAACAAAATATATTGGGATCTTTCGAGGAAATTGAAGCCCAAAATTGTTAACCACGAAAATATATTTGAAAATACGCGATGTAGTCAATGTTCACATGGACCAGTAGAAACAAAGAATTTTCGTGAGTACAACTTTTTTCTAGAATACATACTACTTAAAATATTGCACAAAAATTGGAGGAAAAAAATTTGTTGTGAATATGTCGTTACAATTTTTTAAATTAAATTATTTTATTTGTGAAATAGTACCCAATTTATTAACATGATTTTTATAGCGGGTTACTTTTAAAATCATGAACGCATGATTTTTTTAAGTACGTAATACAACACTTTGGGAGAATGAAGAGATAAAAAACACAATTATACGATAATTTGATTCGCGGTATTTACACATTTGTCTTGAAGCAAAGAAATTAGGAGATAAAAAGAACGCGGCATCACGATGGCGTTACACAGTCCTATCATCGTCATCTGTAATCACTGTCGGATGTGAATCAGTGTTATCGACTCCCAGCTCTAAGCTCTCCCTGTTATTTGATTCTATCGTGTGAATTTCAACAGCTTGATTTTCAGTCAGATTTACAAGATTGTCAGTAATAATAACACTACTGGTGTTTAAAATTGGTTTACACTCAAGTTCTGTTGTATGTGGGGCGAAATCTTTAGTCTCGAGTATATCAGTATTCACTGGATGAGATACAGCAGGAGATGATGGGATATTTAGTTCGCTTGCTGCTTCATCTAGTAACTGAGCAGCACCAACATGAATACTGTTACCAGAAGTAATACAGTTCGGATCTGACATAGATGAAATACACTCGGAAGCCTCATCCAAGGAAAGAAGAACTTGAGTTCTTGATGTGGTGTTTGAAGAGACCAGCGGTTGTGCCTGTAGACTGTACATGATTTGTTGATGACCATCCACATTAGCGATTACAGCACCCATATGAGTACCTAACAGAGCACCGGCTTGCTGTAGAAACAAGGTGGGTCGTTGCTAGGGTTAGTAGATAGGAGTAAAGAGAGAAAAATAAACATCCACGTAAAACCGTCATATTAGATAACAAAAATCTTGACGGATGTTTACAAAACGACTATGCATATTGTAGTACACACAACGTACAACAGTCAAGGATGACGTATGAAGAAAGATTATGAATATATATTTAGGCTTGAAGATGTAAATGTATATTATATCATTGAAAACATTCACTATGCAAATTAAAGAAACAATGAATATTTCTCACTGTACAACAAATAGTCAATCAAAATCGAAATGTTTTTGAAAGACTCCGCAACATGCACATATATAAATGTAAAATGCTTGTTGTTATCTTGGGTGATTAAACAATCATTGTATAAAAATGTTGGCAAATACTCAAAGTAAACACATACACAGAATATCTAGTTGAATTAACAATAAAGACAGTTTGTACACAGTATGCATGAGGTATCCTTTTTAAGTCAATTGATAAAATAATGAAGTTTTTTAGAGGACATGTAATTAAAAAACAATAATATCACTATAATTATAAACACAAGAAAAACAAAAACAACGATAGATGTTATAGCCAACCAACTCAACAAGACGACAATTCGATAAAATAACAATGCTTATCACATGCATTTTCAAAATTAACAAGTATAAAAATCCCGAGATTAAAACAGATACACGTGCAAATTGTAAAAACTTGACCTGAGGAGACGATGACAATATATAATTTGGGAAAATCATGTTGATGTAAAATAACTGCATAGTGAATGTTTACACGAAGAAAAGGAAAGCGACGGACATGATATGGAATTACAACAGTTTATCTGACAGTTGCACCACATACACATTCACACGAAAACACTAACAGCCATTTGCGATACTTACACCAGCGGTTGGTTCCGGCACCTAAATAAGAGAAAAAATTATATTGGTTGTTTTATGAATATCAATGATAGATTACATTTTTCGAAAACACAAATATTAATAGTATAGCTAAAAACAAGTGTTGTGGAATTTTCATTCTAACCTACGACTAGTCTGAAAATCTGAATAAATAAAGAACACAGTTACAAGATAATACGAGCTCTTCAAACTGCGTACATACATCTTAAGCAAAATTTCTAAACATACGTTTTCAGTGATTTCAAGCTATAGACAGAAAGTATAAGTAACCTAACATAATTCCAAAAATGATGTAAGCAGACGAATTATTCAGTGTTAAACGAGTGACTATTTGTGGTATACTTAGGCAAAGTGGGTATAGTTCAGATATCTCTTGGGAACAAGGACTAACTAAAGACGAAATACAAGCTCAAACAACACAGTGAACCTTATAACTCCATTATAGATAAGATTTTATTTTGATAAATCATACAGTGTTATACAGTAATATTTACTGATGTGACCACGTCTCGAGCACAAACTATTGCTCATAATCATATGAAGAGACACTACTCACACAACTTTCTTGCTTCATTTATATACATGAGTGGAATTGATTAGACATTTGAATAAAAAAAACCAATTTAGGATAATGTACATTCAGAAATAATAATATGAGTGTTGTCGATCAATTGCAATCACAGTGGAAATAAGAAGAGTGCTTTTATAGTTAGAATAAGTAACTTGCTAGAATGTTGTGATGTATGTGAATTGAGATAGAATTTCAAGATTATTTGTTATCCTCCTCTGATTTGACTGGTAATAATATCTGCCATATCCTTGGTATCTGCGTTGAGCTATTTCTGTTGCATGTGTTGGGTGTAGACTCCATATTACTTCTTAGAATTTTAACTTTGTCGCAATCACCGCACTGTGGGGTTGTGTTAATGCATGCGGGGCGATTGCTGAGTTTTTCTCCAAATTACTTATCTTCGTGGGGTCAATCATTTTAACCTTAGCTAAATTCTTTTGTTCTGATAATCTCTCCTATACAGCTGACTTAACTCACAGTGGACAATTCTCCAGTGGATTACATAAGAATTCCAATGAGCGACATGAACGCCAAACTGGGAACAGACAACACAGGAAGAGAACTCATCATGGATAGAGAAGCTCTCGGAGGAATGAATGAAAATGGGGAACTCTTCGCCGACTTCTGCGACAGCGTATACAAACACAAGGATATCCACAAAGCTGCATGGGTGAAGCGAAAACCGAAGTGACTTCATCTCAATGCTGCTCAAAGAAGTGGAGACGCAGCTAACTGAACACAAAAGTAAGAAGAGGAGTAGACGTTGGCTCTGACCACTATCTCGTATAAGGGACAATCCAAATCAAATTAAAAGCTTTCTAAAAAACAGGAGCTGCAGACAGACCACAAGCCAAAATTCAATACTCAAAAACTGAAGGACCAGGCCACAGAAGACATCTTCACTGCAAACATAAGGAAAAAGACGGAGACACAAATCAACACTAGCGAAGAGACAAGCATGAAAAACACTGGAACAACCTGAAAGCGCTGTGGGGGCGCGTCTGCGTGGAAGTTCTGGGCAAAAAGAAGAGACAGGACAAACAGTGGCTCGCTACAGACACATGAAGACTAATGGAAGATGGCGAAACAAAAGGTTATTCAGTGCATCGACGAGTAACAAAACAGGAGTTGAGTGCGAGCTACAATACACTGAACAAAAGAGTAAGGAAGAGTGTCAGGAAAGACAAAAGAAAATATTATGAAGCCGTAGCAAATGAAGCAGAACAAGTTGCTGTCTGTCTGTCTGTTTGCGACATAGAACTTTGCACAAATGTGCGGAAGTTTAAGTCGCCACATTCCATGTAGCACGCGAAGCAAGAGAAGAAAGTACAAGAAAAGCATAATAGAGAAAGTGAGCAGAGGTGTGAGACAAAGGAGGAGTAATAACGAAGAACAAAACAGTTTCATTGGAAATCATAAGTCACAAGGAGTGGATGCATCTGCGCTAGCCACTGAGAACGATGAGTTTGAGCCATGTCACCAATTGTTTCCAACCATAGATTTTTACCGTCCCGAGGACCCCAGCCTGGAAGTCTACACCTTCCTACGTAGCTGGCTTAGACTAAGTGTTGTGGATTTCATTGACTGGTGCCAAGTTTTTGTTTGACCGCCGCTAGCTTTTTTCCAGCCTGACCCTACATCCGCTAACATTGCTCGTCGGGGAAGGCGATGACCAGGCATACGTAACACATGTCCTAACCATCTCAGTCTTTGTAACTTCACAACCTCGTCGAGTGGTTTCCTCTGTTTACCTAGAACTCTACGCCTAACCTCAATATTGCTCACCTTATTATGCCACTTTACACGGGAAATAGAGCGCAGGCACTAGACAAGGCATTGCTCGAGTGGAACCCGAAAGGGAAGCGGCGAATTGGTCGTCAGTGCAAGGGTGACTTGGAGGAGGTCATGTGAAGAGGAGATGGAAATATATGGACAGAGTTGGAGCCAGGTGAAAACTCTAGAAGAGAACCGAAGGCAATGGAGACGCGCGGCTGAAGCCCTATGTTCCTTTAGGAATTAAAGGTAATAACAAGAATAATAACTTACTGGGCTGTACTCACTATTAAGTTTCCAAATCTGATCTGTTTTGTGCACGTTATAAGTTTATTTCATTATTCACTCACATCCTCCTGGAATCTCCATCATAATATGTATAGATTCACTGTGTTGTGTGAGCTTGTATTTCGTCTTTAGCTAATCCTTGTTCCCAAGAGATATCTGAACTGTACCCCTTTGCCTAAGTATACCACAAATAGTCACTCGTTTAACACTGAATAATTCGTCTGCTTACATCATTTTTGGAATTATGTTAGGTTACTTATACTTTCTGTCTATAGCTAGCCGATTACTTCAACAGAATTCAGTAACAGGGAGCATACTTTCCGTGTTTGAACTCTAGTGATGTTACTCAGTTACCCGAACTGAAGTAGGTTGAGTGGGTTTCTAATCTCAGGCCAGTTAGACGGAAGTAGACTGCTTAAGCTGATGAGCCACATCAATAGCCATACCTCTTATATGAGGTGATTCCCGTCTGATCGCCGAAGTTAGGCAGCGTCGGTGGTTCAATGGGAGAATCCTCACTTACCAGTCACTCTGATATCGACAACTCTAAAGATAACGACTACTCCAGACAGTGTAGCTTAAACTATTTTAATATGTTGAATTGAATTTTTGATTTTCCCGTCGATTGATTGGACCGAAGTACTCGGTCTCAGGTTGACATGTCGGCTTCTTGTGCAGATGCTTCGACGATGTCTGGGCATTTAATTAGTATACAATTGGTGGATGGTGGCTAGCAGTGGAATCCAGGATGGACATTTCGTCCTATTTGGGACTCATCAGCTATATGTACCTGCATTTCTCAGTGAGTGATGTTCCTAATCGACGGGAAAATCAAAAATTTAATTCAATAATTAATATGACTCGTTGCACAAGAGGTGGCTCTCGTGGCCCAAGTGGTCTAGTGGATAACGCTTTGGCGTTTGAAACTATGGGCACTGGGTTCGAGCCAATTGTATATTTTAATATGTGACTACAAAATCATACTAATGCAGCCGTAGCTTTGGACTGGAGTTAGTTTCATAGTCTGGTTTGTTTATTGGATATATAACACAATGGAGTACAACTCACTGTTCATCATCACATTGATAGTCAGTTTTTAATACTATTTCACTTTGTGATATATATCCAATAAACAAATTTTCAAGCATTGGTCTGTAGGGGTTTGATTGACTGGTTACGGGATGTTATCATGAGCTGTCATCAGTTAGAGAACCATTGGAAAACTTGGGAGTGCTGGACAGCTGTTTTGTCCTAGTTTAGGACTCTTCAACGGCACACACCCACCGGGTATCTAAAACAGTAGACCCTGGTCTCGCGTCGTGAATTGGCTTGCCTTGTAACCAGAAGGTTCTGGGTTCGAACCCAGGTGGGTGAGTACTGTCGAAGAGTCCCAAAGTGGGACAAAGTAGCCGTCCAGTACTCTCAGGTTTCCCAATGGTTCTCCAACCGATGTCAGCTGATGATGAAATCCTGTAACCAATAAACAAGCTAAAATGGAATCACATACCACACGCAAACCGCTTTAACTTTACAACTTGCTAGGTTATATTGTGTCTTGATCATATTTTATCTTAACTGCACGGTCAGCAATCACTGTTTCATTGTGCTAGTTCCATTGTGTAGCAGAACATACTAGGCTGTTACCAAACTAACTATGGGAAGTGACTGATTCAGAGGCAGAAGTGTAGAAACTAGACCAAACTGAAAGTGATCGAAATAGAGTCTAGCATAAACAAAGAACACGAAGATGTTCTTAACGGAAGAAACAGTTTGTTTGGACTAATCTTTAAAAGGAAGAATTCCACTAAAATTTACACCATATTAAAATAACAAAAATAGTTAACCTGAATCTGCAAAATTTGAGCTCTCGTTCCACCGGCTTCTTGAAGGATTGGAAGTATGTTAGGTTGAGAGACAACTTGAACTAAGGGGAACGTGCTACCATCAGTGAGAATAGCACCAGCTTGACCAGCAGATACAGCGTCCGTGTTAGCCGTCTATAATAGATTAGTTGAATATTCAAGTTAATAACCATCGTATGAAATTTCATTAGAATTAGTTTGAAGGAGTTGTAAATACAACAAGCATAAAAATGTATCATGATCTTCTACTTATAGATTAAGATGAGCACTTGGTATTTAACTTTGGACCCAGTAATACAGCTAACACATAACGGTCAATACCTCAACATTTTATTTCATTCTGTTACCACAACAATGTCTTTAGCTTTGATTTTAACAGCTCATTGCTTTTGTTTGTAACTTTTTGCATAAGATCTGAAAACCTTTAGTTTACCTTTGAATAAAAATCGCACAGTGTTCCCTCATTATTCACCTTCCTTTTTTGAGTTGTTTACAGTTTGCTAATCGATTTGTGATTTATATATTGTCCCGACTGATGTCATCGTAACTTAGTAGTTCGATTTATCGAAATTGGTGCGCAAAAAACAAACAACACGCTATCAAACCTTTTTCTTAAATGAGGTTTGAACTCATTTCCTACACTATACAAACCTTTCTGCAATCTCAAGAAGATCATATAAGGTAAAGTTCATATTTATTGTGTATTGATCGAAATCGTCACAGCACAATCACACATTAATCAAAATGCAACTGAAATGGAGGTGAATATGCCTTTCTTAAATTTCTTCAGGGATAAGCCAACATTTTTCGTTTCAAGAATCAGTGTTGCAATATACCTATCTTCAGAGACAGAAGAGCGTTCAATAAAATACTTTATTATTATTGTAATAATTTTTTTCATCTGATGATACTTGCTTCCGGAATTTGCCCAACCAATTCTTTCCAGTTTTTGGTGTAACATGGAATTTCACAAGTTACTGACCTGCAATGATAACTGAAATGTCTGCATTCTCGTGCTGGTGATTTGTATTACAGTTACCATCATTGTACGCCTATCATGAAAGATCAATTTATCTTCATACATGATTTGATATTCTAGAAGGTAGAATGAGTAATATATACCCACGTTAAAGAAAGACCTTATCTAAAACAATACGGTTAGCTTACTTATCCTTCCTAAACTCTAACAATGGGAATCGTTAAGACCATTTGAAACGTTTGACCCCTTAGCTAGCTCGCGAGGACACACAAGTGTAGGGATAGCATTGAGTGTTAGGGCAGAAAAATCTCTTCTCGACTGGATTCCAGTAGACAGTCGTACGTGTGCCGCCCATCTGAACGGGTCCGTTGGAAGAAGGAAGGACGGCGTTACCCGTCGTTGGCTTTTCGTAGTCTCCGCTTACGCCCCAACAGACTGCAGTTCGGATGAACTTAAGGATGATTTGTACCTGAAACTGTCTAATTTGCTGCAAAAAGCGAAACGCTCAGATATGGTTGTTTTGGCAGGCGACTTCAATGCGCAACTAGGGAAGTTGTGCCAGACTGAGAAGTATGTAGGTGGTATATATGCAAGTTCCCTGTCGATGAACCGACAACGGTGGTCGTCTTCTACAGCTCTGTCCAGATAACCATCTGTCTCTAGTCAGCGCTAACTGTAGACACAAAGAGACATTGCGTAACCAGGCGACCTCCATCACTAGGTCAACGGTGGACTCAGATAGACCGCATAGCAATAGGGTATGGTTGGCGAGGATCAGTAGAAGACTGCTGCCCCTTCTGGGACACGTGCGTAGACTCCGATCACGCCCTGGTTCGCGCACGTTTATGATTACGATTAAACGGATATAGAAAATTATTGGCAGCGAAGCAGCTGCGTCCCCAACTAGATCGAGACTCTGAGTCCCTGTTTAAGGAAGAAATAGCTAAATGAGTACCTGAGGTGGACAAGCACGACTTTCCCTGAGGTAGCCTGGGCTGGTACAACATACAGTTAGCTGTAGACACAGCTGTAGAAGCTGTTAATAACCTAAAACGAAAAGTTAGTAAGAGCCATTGGATCTCTACCGCCTCATCCGAACTGATTGACGCAAGAAGACCGATTCCGGCGAGCTCCGATTATGAGGAGGCGCGAAAGCTACTCGAACGAAAACTAACAAGAAGTCTTCGTAACGACCGTGAACAATGGTAGACGACAAAAGCGAAAGAGATGGAAAAGTCATAGGTGAGAGGTGGCACCAGACAACTATTTAGACTTATAAGGGAAACAGGTGGTAAAAGGCAAACAATCTCTGAGTTAAGTGGTACCGTAATTAGCCGCCAGGATTGACGACTAGAACGTCGGAAACAACACTTTAGGGGGGAGGACGATTTATCTAGCCTAAAGCCACGATCAACTTGTCGAAAATTCAACACCTTCTAACATGGGATATAGACACAGGTCCACCGTCACTAACTGAGGTTACTAAGGCTATCGCTAGTTTCAAACGAGGCAAGGCAGCAGGACCTGATGGAATGACTCCAGAGGTGTTTAAGTACGGTGGAGACAGTTTACTGTCTGCGTTAACTTAGGTGCTAGGCGGCGTCTGGGAATAAAAAGACGTTCCTTCGGGCTAATGTAAGTCACTGAATATCCAGATATACGAAAAGGGAGACAAATCTTCCTGTGATTATCACAGGGGGATTAGCTTGACTAATATGGTATCTGAAGTTCTAGGCTCAATAATAGTGCGTAGACTAAGTGGTCCACGGGAGGAACAAACATGAGAGAACCAGACAGGCTTTAGACCAGGATGAGGGTGTATTGATCATATCTTCACCCTTTGACAGATTCTGGAACACAGGTGGCATACTTACCGGCGTCCAACAATCGTTATATTTCTTCACCTAAATACGGCATTCGCCTCTGTCGACCGAGAGGTACTCTGGCGATGTTTAACTGTAAAGGGAATGCCGAGGAAATACATTGCACTGATCAAGGCACTCACTCTACTCGAACTCATGCAGCCAGCCAGATGAGAGCTTATGGCGAGTTGTCATCTGGAGTGGTGACAACTAGTGGTGTCCGACAGGGATACCCACTATCCCCATTTCTATTCAATTTCATCATAGATGTAATAATGGAATTCACGCTAAGTGACTTCAGCGACTCAGGGATTGATTTGTTATCATCAGGGAATAATCTCGTTGACTTAGAATATGCATAAGGATGACTTAGTCCTTCTTCTAGGTGAAGACGCTGAGAAAGTGTAGCACAGTCTTCTGAACACCGTGAGCAGCAATCTGCGAATGTTCCGCATGCCAATTACTCCTGCTGTCAAATGTAAGATGATGCTACACTACAGGACTAGTCTTGACTACTTTGTATTTACAAGGTTACATGATTTGTTACAGACAGAATGAATGATCCTGCTAACTTAAACAACCTAGAAAAAAACTCAGGCGTTACAATGCATATACTTGCATGTAGTCAGATATTAGGGAGAGAAGTGAAAATAATCAAAAGTAATTTGGTTATGTGATGACAGACGCTAATCATTGAATCAACAAACTCGTGCAATCGAAATGGCGCAACGTCTATACCAGATATGAGGAAAATCTCAATGAATAACAAGGGGGACAGGAAAAATATATAAGGTGAATTATGAAGCTATATGGGTGCATTGATAGGATTATGAGCAATACGTGGTGATCGAAGCGTCATCCAGTTATCAATACTGTAAACTTATCTAATACGGAATTAATGACCTTTACACCCAGAAAACAATTTATTTACCTGAAAATGTTGAGGAAGGACTTGTATTTGAAAAGGCTGTCCAGCTGATGCTCCAGCTGCACCTACTGGAAGTTGTAGAACGTACTGCAACGGAGCTGCTGTAGTATTGACTGTAGTAGTATTTGGAGCGGAGGCTGCTATTACTGTTGACGAGGTATTGGCTGAAGACTGAGCACCACCTAGACCAGCACCAGAAGAGACAGTTGTAAAATGAACAGATGTGGGTTGGTTCTGTTGAACCAATGTTTGACATGGGATTCCTGAGTTAACAGAAGTTGCTCCGGCGATTGCTCCAGATGCCAAAGCAACAGTCACTGTTTGGGGTTGTGCTGAAGCTCCAGTAGCACCACTCGACAATCCCGAGACAACTACTTGACTCGAGCCTTGTTCTAGAGACAAGGAATGCGCACCATTTGTATTTGTGAAGAAATTGTTCCTATTCACAGGATTTTCTTGCTTAACATTCACCGAACTACCATTGGTATTTGAGGAAGAGGTCGCCTGGTTTGGCTTTCAAAAATGTATGAATTTAAAGGTGATATATCGAAAAACGAAAGTGACAACTTTACATCAATGAACTAAAATAAACTACGTACACCAACGAATCACGATGGGCAGGAATTTTGGATAAAGATTTCTTCCGGAAGAATTGTACATCTGGGGCATATGGGTTGTTTGATGCATACGGTGAACACTGTCTCACATGGTCGCAGGAAGGTATCCAAGTGCGATATATGGACACCTTCTCAATGCAACACTGGACATCCTATCTCAACAAAATCCTCCTTCAAAGTAATATGCAAAGTGAAGAACAGCCTGCGAAAGGCAATGCGCCTTCGTCACACAATTCATTCCTGCATTTCTGGCCATCAAGATAGAGAAACTGGAGCTCAGAATACGAAGGGAATTTTCTCTCGAACTCTTAGGTAGTGTGATTCACTCCATAGTTTCAATGCACATCCTGATTACAGATCAGATTATTTATCCCATCACGTAAATACTACTATGTATTGATTAACATTAACAAATGAGGTTATGGCAACTCATCACTTTTGTTACTACTCACACTCGGGAAAAAAATTCCACACAAAGGCCACTGTGCAGCTGAAGGAAATGTAGTCGCAGAAGCAAACATCCCCACCGCACTAACCATATTATTTTCCTCAGTTCATGGAATATTCCCCATTGAGCTTGCAGAAAATCAAAGCAGGTAATTCACCGAAAAGTCTCTTTTCAAAAAAAATTATCCATTAAGCTGTACCAGTCGCATACATATACATCTATAAAAATATATATGTTATATACATAACTTGAAAAATAATGTGAATTATGACAAAAATACTTTTTTGTGTACTTTATAATATAGTTCATGAGATGTATAAATCTTAATGTAGTGTAGAAATGATAAGAGTTGTTAACAATTAAGAAATCGCGCAGTAGGCTGGTAGTTATGATAAGACAACGTTATGAGAATAATTACATTGAATTAAGTAACATTTCATAGATTTCAAATGTATATTCTTGCTAAGAAGTGGGTGGAAATCTGTTTTCCATTAAGATTTTTTTGGGGAAATGAATTTTCACCAACTTTTACACAGAACATACAGTCAAAACCTATGAAATGCGACTTAACGTCTGTAACCAAGAAAATTAAGTACATGAAGCTTGAATTCGAAGGTGACTTAGCTTTCGAAATCCTAAAAAGAAGGATCTTACAGTCTCTGAAAAATAGTATTCGCTGTAGGATTGTTGAGAATAGCGTTTTCTAGTCGACCATTACTGTTCAATAACTCTAAGTACACGACCCCAAAGTTGACCAACTCTATGTGCGTTTATCGGTCCACATACTATTGTGAAGCAAGAAATATTAGTTTTTCGACTTGGGTTTTGTTCAAGAGAAGCGAGAACACTATTCTGTGTGGTTGCGAAGAGGTGGAAGTAGAGCTTTCTTAAGAAGCACAACAATTAAACATCTGATCGATGCTGGCCACCTTATCTCTACAGCCACTTCCTCTAAACTTACCCTACATTGCGAAAAATAAGTTGCTCAGATCACTAAGTATCTGACTCACCTGTATTGTTGGAGCTTTGGTCATCGAAGTAGGAAAGCTAGATCTTTGTATTCACAAAATGTTTGTTCAACCTTTCAGACTCTCGTGGTTTCAACCCGTCTATATGTTAGAGTATGAAAATACACACCCATAATTGGATTCTACTTACTTTTCACTTTGTTTATTCCATTTTTATATCCCTCCCTTATTATGTCGATTGTTATTATTAATTTCACCTTGAACTACTACTACTATCTGACTTGTCACCTTTACTTACTCAATTTAGTGTAATTATTCTCGTAACGTTGTCTTATCATAACTACCAGCCTACTGCGCGATTTCTTAATTGTTAACAACTCTTATCATTTCTACACCACATTAAGATGTATACATCTCATGAACTATATTATAAAGTACACAAAAAAGTATTTTTGTCATAATTCACATTATTTTTCAAGTTATGTATATAACATATATATTTTTATAGATGTATATGTATGCGACTGGTACAGCTTAATGGATAAATTTTTTTGAAAACAGACTTCTTGTGAATCACTTGTTATGATTTTTCATCAGTGCCTGGATACGTATTAATCATGAATTAGGCATTAATCACCAATTGTGATAGGAAGTGACTAAAATGGTAATCAGTATTATAAGCCAATGATCTTAAAACCATTCACATGAATATGATAACCTGACTGTTGAACCCGGGACTTGTTACAACTTTTTCAGCTTATCGTTTAACCACTGGCCAATCGCCAACCAATCAGAATACCCTACTTTCCGTTGATCTAGCAGAATTTTAGCGTGATTAGAAATATATACGATATTTTTCCAGGTAGGAAGTTCTCATCTTAACGGTCACTGACCAGTCTTTGTCTTTTGATATTTACGTGGCGTCGGTCGATATCAAATTGTACTTATCATCGGTAGTCATTCCGCTAAGACCTTTTCGCATGGTGTATACTTAGGTTGTTGATCTAGTGAACAGTTAAAAGATAATGGGAATACACATTGATTTTTTGTAAACAATAGTAGGCTAAAACATCACATGTTATTCTCATCACAAAACAAAGGAGAATTTATTCGTTCAACACATAATTAGTGTTTATTTGTAAATCATGTATCACCCAATTAAATTACTACATGGAATACAATGTAGACTTACTCGACGATGCCCTCTGGTTTCTTCACGAGGTACAATATCAATAAGGAAGTCAAACTGATCTGTATCTCCATCACTGACTGCCATAGCTATATCATTCCTTTGAAGTGTGCGTCTTCGGTTGCGTTCCGTGTGAACCCAAGCTCTTAAGGTTAACTCTCGAATAAAAAGTTCAGCTGCCTTAGCAAACAGTATTGGTGCTTCAGCACTAATCATCTTGTTAAAAAAGAACCAAAGTTTTAGTAGCAGTCTAATAAACAGATGACTAAAAATTACAGAATACTGTGAAACAGAGAAATATATTAGTAGACTTGACAACCGAAAATACTGTCCACTTGAAGGTATTAAATGAATCCTATATACGAAAAAGAGTTAACTGGATTTAAGTCGATGACAAAATAACCTTTGACATTATAAATGCTAAAACGTCAGTAGAATTCCAACTTGATTAAGACACAAAACACACACACACATAGAGCCAGATAAGAAATCGAAAAGAAATGCAAAACAGAGATAAGGCAAAAAGAATAGTAATGTCGAAGGACAATATAGTTTTTTTGGGGTAGTATAGGTCACAAGGAGTGGATGCATCTGCGCCATTGAGAACGATTTTGAGCCATATCACTATCATTGCCCAATGTCGAGGAAGGTGATGGATGGCTAGGCATGCGTAACACATAACCTAACCATCTCAATCAATGTAACTTCACCGCTTCGTCTGCTGATTTCCCTTCTTTACCTAACACTCACCGTCTGGGTAAGAAGGGGTAATCAAATAGACGAGGCTGTGAAGTTACATCGATTGAGATGGTTAGGACATGTGTTACGCATGCCTAGCCATCCATCACCTTCTTCGACACTGGGCAATGATAGTGATATGGCTCAAAATTGTTCTCATTGGATAGTGCAGATATATCTACTTCTTTTGACTCATAATACCCAATGAGACTCTATTGTCCTTCAATATTACTATTCTTTTTGCCTTATATCTCTGTTTACTGTCCATGTTTTACATTTCGTTTTAATTTTTTCCTCTTCTCTGACTTTGTGTGCTGGCTGAAGTGTGGCGACTCGAACTGCTGCACATCGGTGCAATGTTCTATGTTGAAACCAGTCAGTTGTACGAGTTTAGCTACTCCGAGCAGAACGTTAATGTACGAGAATCAAAATGGAAGGCCTAGATTTCGTATACTTTATTCCAATTTTGTCTCATTTCTACTGAGAACGTGTTGATTAAATTTAACACACCATGATATATCTAGTTAAGTTTTGGTAGACTTCTTTCAGATGAATAAAGGTGGTTGAACGAATCTAATGGTCCAAATACAACACATACAACATTTGACTTTAATAATGTAGTACATTGAACTTACCATACACTTAATATCATCATCTAGTTTCATAATTTTCTTTATTCTTGCCAAGGGTAGATCTTGAGTCTTAAATGCTGCATGGTCGCATTTTAAGCCGTCTATTTCAGCACGTATGAGATCCCAAAATGATACCATTTGTGACTGACACTCTGTCAGTTGGTCATTCGAATAATCCATCTGCAGGAAATTGGAACAAAAAGCAACAATCACTCGCATATTGAGAGTAACCGAGTACTTCTTTTCATCCTTAAACGTCAACTCTTTTATTCTTTTCTGTGTCTTATGGGCTTTTAAACGATTATAAATAATCTTTTTGTACCTCCTACTCAGTGATCACTACCTAGCGTGCATATCTGTAACTTAAAACCTGTCATATGGTTGTTACAAATGCCTATTTACATAAGCCAAAGTGAAACAAGTGTTATACAAATTACCAAAAAGACTACTGCAAACTTATGCATAAAACTGTTAACAAGATGGTATTAATGACCTAAGAAAATGGCGAAATAGCTAATCTACTAGGATTAAGATTCTTATATACATGGTGAATTGATGAAGCCAATACATGTACTTTGTGCAGTTTACATTTTGGTATGTTCTCCGTCCAGAATGGGAGACGAAGCAAAACGATACTGTTGGGTTTAAGTATACATGCTTGTGTCAATGACCATAAACATCGATGAATTACAAGACGATATTCGAAGTTGGACCTTATATGTATCATTATACCTACCAAGTAGCAATCTTTAACAAATTATGTATGTCCAAACCAAGTTCACTTTTAACGACTTGAAAAAATTTGACATTGCTACATAGTATCCAATATCATGAAGGTTTTTGTATCTCCCAATGAATGGAAAGCAAAACTATGTTGTTTTTACTGACGTTTCGCTATTTAATGTTAATAGCTTTCAATATGTCTTTTTAACTTGTCCTAGGTCTATTTTCTCACCCATAACTCTTTGTTATATATGTGCTGAGATTTTGCAAATCCCGGTTTAATAATATTTTGATAAAGCTATTAGCATTAAATAGAAAAACGTCAGTAAAAACAATATCGTCTTGTTTTTCATTCAATGGGAAATACAAAAAACCTTCATTGGAATGAACCTCTAACAAAACTATCATTTTAATGGCCAGAAAAGTTGTTGAATAATGTTTGGAATGATTGAGGATTACGTTTCTCGTAGGACAGATATAAACCTTGCAGAGTTTTACCTAATTAACATTCAGAATATTACAAAATAAACACCAACCACAAGTCACCTTGACTCTAAATCGGAAAAGCCGCCACTAAATCCAAACGTGTCCTCCATGAAAACTGTAGCCTCCTAGGGTGATTCTGTTTACAACAATGTCTTTACACCTATCAGAAGTAATCTTTAAAGGTTTAATTAAGGTAAAAAAGTGGGTTTAAAGGCATGCATTTGCTCTTTGCTTAGACAGGTTAATAACAATTTGGGTCCATTGAAACACTTGAAATTTCTACATGACAGGTATTGAGATATTTTTGCCACATGAAGAGTGAGTCGAAAATGACTTTGTGTTAGGGATATTCGGTTTATTCGTGTATTTTGTGTTTTCAGCTCATACCAGAAAGATATGAGTTTAAGTCAATTGGAATTAAGCTACTGCTGGTGCACACTTCTGAATTATGAGGAATGAGGACATACGTAACACCAACAATGAGATATCACGAGTGAAATCATAGTAATTCTAATCCCATGAAATTCGAATAGAGGCGGTAATCAAAAACAGAACAAGCGAATTTCATTTTAAGAAAGTAGCCTAATACATATGCATAAAACTTGGGTACTGTGGTACAGTGTAACTGCATTATAGATAAGATTTTAATTTGATAAATCTTTTCGAGATTAGCCATCTTCCCTACATTATCCACATATCCATACTTAACAAGGATTGTGTTGTGTTACTTGGAACAACTATAGTAATTTCTCGTGGAATCCACAAACGGGAATCTTCGGATACCACTTCTATCACATGGGACAGTGGTGTCAAAGGAAAACCTGAGTTCTTATTTTGCAATATACTGCTGATTATCGTTGTTTATGATACTTCGATAATGCAATAATCTTTTTTATATCCTCAAGACTTTTTCCGTAAATTGTAAAAATTCTTGTCTCTGTAATGGTTAAGTCTGTCAAACGTGTAAGTACCGTTGAGTGGCTGCGATGTAATACTCGCTATTTATATAAATCCTATTGCGCATCAAGTTGCATTGCAACTCCGTATGAAGCAAGATATTATGAATGCCTTGCCCTCTCTTCTGCATAAATAACACTGGAATTACTTCACAAGTTCAGTAAAGACTAATAGAAGTTTATCCACTTCAGTGTTATGAGTTAATTTGTGAACTGTGTAGACTTTTACGTTAATACATTTGGCGAGCAGACTCCATTTCGAAGTCATAAGTGTACATGTTTTACTAAAATCTCATTTACTTGCTGTATCAATTTTATGCTCAAGTGGTTATTTAACAATTGATGAATTTTGCAATCAGGCCAAAATTATAACCTGTAGTTCCGAGGATTGCTGTCATTTTCATTGGCACGATCTATTGTGTTTACACAGCCAGAATGCCCATTTCTCACTTTACTGAGGGAACAACGACTGAGATTTTAAGAAGGCAGTATGTCATTTTGTTAATTTGGCGGCCTGTTTGACACCTGGGTTAGCTTTTCTTGCATCAACATATTGCATGTAATACATCATGTTTTCATTCTTAATTTTAATCAAATATGGGTGAAGTTCAACAATAGCTTCCCAGGAGTGCGAACGATTCAGTGACCTTGAGCGCATGCTAGTCTTTGGCTAACGGCACCTGTCATTATCATAGCTGAAATATCAAGACTATTCATCAAATTAGGAGCAAGTTTCACCCAGATAGCGCTTTTAATTTCTGTTTGGACAATGTGCTAATATCTCGTTAGGGTTAGGATAAGGGTTAAGTTAAGTATTGGGGTTAGGGTTAGGTTTATGGTCATAATTGAGATTAGGGTTAGGCTTACCACAGGATAAGGATTGTTATTAGGGTAGGGATTAAGGTTAGGGTTAGTGTTAAGTTTAGGGTTATGGTCAGGATTAAGTTCAGGGTTGCGATTAGGGATAGATTTATAGTTAATGTCGTTTTTTTAATTTGATTTATCCCATTTACCTTGCGTGTAGTCGTCGATCCTCTTACTGAACTCATAGTAATTCAACCGAAGGCTTTGGAGAGGATTGCGCAGCAAGAGAAGAGAGATGAACTATTCACAAAATAGCACATCTTCAGTCACTTCGGTGAATACATCCATAGGAACTAGTCCAAGTTAGCAACTGATACTCTTCATCATAACTGGGACGTATTTTTAAGTCATGTCAGAGAAAGATAGTCTGTTTAATATGTTTTCATGCATTTTTTGTGAATATACGTCATTTTTGTGCAATAATTCCTCTTTTTATGATTGGTTGGCTGAAGGTCACTCGTGCGCTCGCATCCCTTGGGACGCTATTGTAGAAATTTGCCAAAATATGATCACAAATCGGCAAAGTTCAACAATAGCGTCCCAGGAATGCAAACGCATGAGTTACCTTCAGCTGACCAATCGTAAATATGAGGAATGTTTGCTCAAAGAATGATGTATACTGACAAGAAAATGCTTGAAATCGCACTGAACAAGTTATCTTTCTCTGACATGACTTAAAAATACGTCCTAATTATATCGAGGAGTATCATGTACGTGTATTCACCGAGATGACTACAGATAAACTGTTTTTGTGAATCGTTTATCTTTCTCATCCTGCGTGCAGTCTTCCGAAAAAGCCCTAAGTTGAATTGTTGTGGTTTCCAGCAAGAGGATAGATGACTACTTGTCAGGAAAACGTGGATAATAAAACAAATTAAAATAAATGACATCAGCTATAAACCAATCTATCCCTAATCGTAACCATAAGCTTAATCCCGACCCTAACCTTAATCCTAACCCTTATCTGAACCGTAATTATAACCCTAATTTAGATTATAACCCTGATCCTAACCCTAACCCCAATAATTACCTTGGCCCCAATCCTAACCCGAACGAGCTATTAACACATTGTCCAAACAGTGCTTGGAAACGTGATCTGGGTGATATTTACTGCTAAGCTGGTAAATAGCGTTGATATTTCAGCTATGATAATGACAGATGCCGTAAGCCAACGACTAACGTGCGTTTAAAGTCATTGGATCGTTCACACTCCTGGCACGCTATTGTTGAACTTCGCCCAGAAATCGTATAAAATACAGTAATTCATTCATTAAACGTTTCAAACCATATGACTTTCATGCATCTAATAAAACTAAGAGAAAACACCACGGTGGCTGACAGCGGGCATTTAAAGAGACACCTTTATCTCGCACAACTATTCCTGTTATTGCTACTTCAAACTGCCGTTCACTTCCCAACAAAATTATGCATCTCCAGTCTCTCTTATCATCTGATGCTTATCACAATACGGCGATTGTTGCATTACAAGGAACATGGCTCCATGAACTCTATGATGACAACCTGGTTTCCCTAAATGGTTTTACATTGTCTAGACAAGATCGACTATGCTCCAGAAAGAAAAGCACGCGGACGTGCTCCCATAATGAACCCTGATCATTGCATTATTTGGATACTACCTAAGATATACAGCAGATCTCACTCTAATATCCTCTAAAATCTGTCCAGGAAAACACAGCAAAGCTGTTACTCACAGGAAAATGTGCCGAAACTAAGATGTATGCTAAATGACACAAACTGGGAACTTTTCAACGAACACACACTGGATGACACTATTTCCAATTTGACTGACTATCTTAAATTCTGCCTGGGTGTATGCTGTCCAAAACAGATAATTTTCAAAAGAATGGATCGTTTTTGTTCCCCTCATCTCAAAAAGCTTCGAAGAGAAAAAGAGAAGCTGTACAAGACAAAGAATACATCTGGCCTCGGGAAGATAAACATCCAAATTAAATCTGAAGTCAAGAGGCTGAACAATATTTATAATCAAACAATACTGTCTTGTAAAAGTCCAGAAAACATGTGGAAGCCTTCCAGAGAAATTATAGGTTGTAGTAAGCATAGTAATTTCGCCTCTTCTATTGATGTAAATACCCTCAATAGATCTTTTATCCGCCCTCCAAATGTCCCTTTTGCCTTCAATTTAACTATTGACACGGCCACTGATTTTCATATTTTCAATACTTCTGATGTTCTTAAGTGTTAAAATCTCTAAAACATTTCCAGAGTCTAGGCCCTGATGGCATACCTGCCATTGTTCTAAGGAAATGTGCTGATATTCTAAGTAACCCACTTACAAACATTTTCGATACTTCTTTTACTAATAATGTTGCACCTTCTCTGTGGAAAGATATTAAAATCATCCATGTACCCAAGTCTGGTTCTGGAAATAGTGTTAAGTTTAGACCTATTGCTATTACCTCCCCTTTTTTGAAACTAATAGAGAAATTATTGTTGCAAAAACTTGTTCCCTCCCTAAGCTTCTCAACTGATCCAAAGCGGTTTGATTACAAACAGGGTAGAAGTACTTCAGACGCTGCTGCTGTGTTTCATCACAACATTGTATCCTCCTTAGACAAAGGGGTCAAGTATGTCCGTTGTACGTTCCTTGATTACACATCTGCCTTCGACCCTGTACCTAGGGGACTTTTGTCAGCCTCACACAAACTGAATACTGGGCTATAAGCTGGCTGCACTCCTACTTCTCTAACAAGATGCAGTACACGGTATATAATGGTGTAGCTTCCTCTCTTTTGCTCACTGAAGCTGGAGTTCTTCAGGGTGCTGTTCTCCCTCCGTTTCTCTTTTCCTTCTTCTTACATGACTTACCTCTTTCAGACGATATCAACTTCGTCAAATATGCAGATGACCTGACTGTTTCGCTTGCCATTAAGTCTCAGTCAGACTGTTTCAAATTAAATAGCTTCCTGTCGGACATCAGTCAGTGTTCTAAACTAAATGGCCTAATGCTGAATTTTCTGAAAGTGCCAGGCTATTGACTTCTCGTTTAGGCATAAACGAGATCTGCAAACACTAGTAAGCACTCATGAAGCCTGTAGCATCGGGGGGACTAAAACTAAAACTAAGTCTAAAGCAAACTTGGACTAGTTCTATCTTCCGACCTTACTTGGTCATCTCATATCCAAATGATTGCCAAGAAAGTGTTCCGTCTAACCTAATATATTAAGAAATTCAGACTAACTGGAATCACTCAACCTCTGCTTTCACAATTTGTCAATTCTCGTATCTTACCTATTCTACTTTAGTGCTCCTC